TTCCTGCTAGGTGCAGAACACAGAAGGTGCAGTTATATGTATTAGAAGGATGCTGGCTGGAAGAGACAGAGTTATGATCAATACAACTAAATACTACTTTGAAGGTATGTATTTGGATATACATACTTTCCACAGTATGCACTGGTAAAGCAGAAGGATTAGTCTTATGGTAAAATCAGCAAATTATTATGTCATTAAGGGCTGTACTTGCACAGATCTGGCAATAACTTCTTGATTTCTGGCATTTCCTAAATTCAGAGCATTCAACTTTGAAATCCAGGAAATGCATTCCTCTGTGGGTAGTTTATTGCATAAAAAATAAGCAACAAAAAAGGACATATCTAAAGGTTGAACTTTGCATGGTCCGGGTGCTGTTCAAACACAGAGCATGACTGTTCTCTCATACGATCAGTCTCCACTCTCTCAGGGACTAACCACTCAGTAGCTTCCTTTAGCCTGTACTCAAACTATATCCATTTGCTTTCTCCTTTGTAGTATCTTTCTCTTGCAGTTCAAGTGGTAAAGTTATCTTATTTAAATACTTAAAATTATTTTATGCCTAGAAGTGTTTTCTACTTTATTTTTCAAGTAAGATAAAACAAAAGACTAGATTATATTAGCATAACAATACCCCACCTGCATCCATATTCTCCTGATTTAACTTGCTGAGGAACAGACTCTGAACCAACAACATCAATAGCATTTGATCTGCTGCTTCTGCAAAAAACCATCTCACATATCTGAATATGTACAAAGGTGTCTGTTTAATGGTAACGTAAAAAAATAGCATTGGGTGACATTATAAGACAGTGACCACTTTCCAGACAAGGACTGTCCCTGTGTTCCAGATATCAATCTAGTATCTGCCAAAGTGTCGCAATGGCTTTTCTGTGCAGTGCAGTAGGTAAGATGTTTCCAGTTGCCTGCTTAAAGTGCAAACAGCTCACGAGGCAGCCATTTACAAGGCAGGACCGCAGCGTGCTAAGTGAGCGCAGGACAGCTAATGTCACCCCCTACTGCTTCTTTTAATACTTCTGTCAGCTCAGCAACACGGTGACTGCTGCTGGAAAAAAAACATGCCTGGCACTTCTGATGGCTTCCTGTGGAGTTACATGGAGAAGAGACAAACAGCCTGAAGGCTCAAAATGAGATCAGTGCACAGAAAACACGCCTCACATTTTCATGTCTGTCTCCTTCTGCTGGGGAGAGGTTTTGCCGGAAGGGGGGAAAAGGAGGAGGGGCAGGGAAATGAATTATGTTGTACAGACACTGTACCAACAGCTCTAATAGCATGAGGAAGCCATCACGTTAGAGAGCACAAATGTGACCCCTGGTCGCTGGCAAAACATCAAGAAAATTTGGCAATGGTATTGAGACATAAAAATAAAATAATTATTTCTGTATCTATGTACAACTGTCACAGCACTGTGATGGCCGAGTTTAAATACTCCAAGTCTGACCCTTGGCTTCCACTATGGGATGCTAACTCTTGGGCCAACAGGGGGAATGATGCCACTGGAAGAAACACATACACTGCAAAAGATAGAGAATGAGGCCAGGTCTACTCCTCATGACAAATCTCTCAGTCCTGCAGAAAATGGCTATGTGCACTGCATAGCCAACATCATGGGCTTGATTTAGAGTCACCATTGTGGGGACTACGCTGAAAGCAAACGGCAGGCTGCTGGCTTTCGAGCAAACGGATTAAATTGAGAACACCAGACCAAAGTTACCATCCCCCTAACAGAGTCAACCCTATTTACTCCACAGCTCATGTCCTCCCCCAGTGTTCCTGAATCTACCTCTTCCTTATGCTGAGAAGAAACCTGGGAGAAGGGCATCCAGTACAGTACAAGAACAAAGAAGGAATAGCACTGTTTTGACTAGATAACACACAATGGAAGCATCAAACAGGAAGCAGGGAAAGTCTCTGTGGCCTTAGAGGGAAGACTCTGTCCAGTACTCATGAGGAGGCAGAGAAGAAAAAGGCACATGAAGGGAGGAAGAAAACATTTTCTGGTATTCAACAGGAAGAGATTTAAACACCATTGAACTAGCAACCTATAGAAAACTGGCACACTTTTCCAGAGGTAATGAATAAATTTGATTCGGGCACTGCTCTGAGCATGAGTAAAGGTGGGGAACCAGGGCAGGAATTCTCAGAATCTCACAATTTGTCATGTCTTAGGTAAATTCAGACAATACCGTCTCACAGTTATGAGAATACCTTGGTTGCATGCCCAAATTTTTTTCTGTTACTTCGAAGAGTTAATCTTAAACGTTCTTCAAGACTAAGTCTATATAGGAGTTCCTGTAGAGGCTTAAAAATTGTAATTGCTGTAAGGAAACAGACAGTGATGATGTTTACTGTAGTATGAATCCACCTGAACCCCAAACCGAAAGGCACAGATAGGCCTCCACATCCAGTTCACCCTCTAAAATGCCATCTCCCCAGAGAAAACTTTCTATTTCATCTTTCCTACCTTTTCACTCTCTGCAAACTCTTGCAATATAATTTGTCTCTCCACACACAGTTCCAAGAAGTCTTCTGAATGGAAACTTTCATGTAGAGCAGGGAAGAACGTTAGCTGGTTACAATCCAATCCCTTAGCCATGTCCCTTTCTGCTCCATTTAATGTTAGCTCTCCTACATCAGTATAAAAGAGATTGCAGTTTTAGTGGCAACCAGATGACAACAAAAGTGTTTGCACTTTAGACTTGTACCCAATCTGTTCTATCTTGGGAAATAGCATTATTTATCTGCAAAAAAAGAGGCAAGAGAAGTAAAATCTGTGACTGCTAAAGAACGATGCTTAGTTCAGGGAAATAAAACCAGGTAGCTGCACTCAGTCATAATTCAAACGAAATTCTTATAATCACTGAAGATTAGGAAATTAGGAAAAACTGAAAATGGTAGTCTTCTGGAGACATACACTAAGCAGGATCTTAACAGAACCCAAGGAGAGACAATCCACTCATATCTTCCCCAAGTTGTATCCCAAGTTTTGCAGCTTCACTCAGCGTACGCAGTTAGGGAAGGTATGATCAGCCTTCTTGTTGGAGGGCTTGTTTGGAGTCTAGAACAGTCTTGTTTGGAGTCTAGAACAATGAGCTCCACTCTCACTTGTTTGCGAGGCCCTATCACACTAAAAAAATGTACGACAATACTGCCTATTTCCAACAGTGTACACTAGAAGCTTCACCTGGAGCAGCCATACAGGTGGCTGAAATCCACAGCCTTAGACTTGGCCAACATTTCCAAACTATACATCTTTCTCAATGGTTTGTTTTTTTTTTTTTCCTCTCTGAAAAACTATTGACTTCTATACCATATTTCACTCCCCCCCTCCTCTCTTCTTTTAATGTCTCAGATAACAGAAAACCTGGCCTTGTAAAATGAAAAATCTTGACATAATGATCATATTTTGAAAAATCTGGTTCTATTTTGAACACTGAAAACCAATTTGACATGTTAATATTCTTGATGATTTTCTTCCACTCTCCATTACTTTGTCCACATTCTTGGAAAGTTACAATTCCTATAACCACTTGTCTGAGCCATCTGTCACCTGGTTTTAAGTACTATTTCAGAGGTAGAACTGGAATGTCTACTAAAAGCAGAGGGAAAGTGCACTTTTCCTTCTGAGTTTAAGCAGCTGGGAGCTTTCCAGGTGCCTAAGAATGCCCAAAGCTTTCATTTCAAGATAGCTTTTTTTGCCTTCAGATCTTCCTGGTGGCAACAAGAGAGCAACAAATTCTGAAGACAGTTTATATACCACCTATAACAATTGCATCAGTCTTTTCCCAGATATTACAGTGACTTTTTAGCCCAGAGTGCTGACAATAAGGTTTTTTCACTAGATGAAATTCTGACCTGGAACTCCATATACTAACTCCAATTCTCTTTGGCTGTTTGCGTCCACCCTCTTGATAATGTAATTTAGCCCTACAAGGTTACCTGGATTCACTTCATCAGGGGGGGTTGTTTCATTTCTGTTTGCTAGGAGAACCTGAAAAGACACTAGGTATGACTAGAGTGGAATCTGCAGACAGGTAAACATAACTCAGAACTCTGTTGCAGAGAAAAACACAGACTCAGAACTACATTGCAAATAAATGCCTTGGAAATTCAAACTCAGTCATTTGAAAGGACCCAAAGGAACAACTAAATGTAGGAACAAATGTCAACAATTAAGCAAAAGGACTATTGTCTTTTCAAAGATGACCCCACATGAGGCCAGTTAGAGGCTAAAAAAACATACCACCCAGTCTACAGAAAACTGACAGAAACCAAGCTTCACATATAAGCTGAAAATGTTGTAGAGGTGGGAACCTCCTCATATACTAAAGTGCTTCAGCTTCTAGTTGATAGGATTTGGCACTTAGACACTATAGAGACAGACAGTAGTAAATACCCCACACATAGTTCTCAATGCTTAGTTCAAACCACTCTAATTCCCCTTTTGATCATCCACCAGTTCTAGCGCCCTAATAAGCATAAGACTAACAGGGCAGTGCAGCCTTCTAACTGAACTCTGTTGCATGCATTGGGAAGCACTATACCCATGAGATACTACAAGCAGAAAAGTATGGTTGGGTAATAACCTCATCTGTCTGGGAAGATCTTCTCCCAGAAAAGGGAGGAAAATAATTTTGTTGCTGCTAAACATGTCACAGCCCCTCTTACTCTCTCAAAACCAGATCTGTTCAGCTGGTTCTCTATGCATGGCACAGCATATTGATGAGTCACGGGATGAGAACCAGAAGAAAGAGGCGAGTATAACACCAGCAACTGTTACAGAAATTGTGCACCTCCTGCAAAAGCTTTCTACCTCACTCTTCATTCCCATCGTTGCTGCTCGGGTATTCACATGTTGAATCCTCCTCCTCATTCGTGAAGGCCCTTCATAACAATCAAGAATCCATCGTGGCTCTAAGGACGGTGATGCATCTCTCCATGGGCCTCTTCCGTAGAAAAGCTGCTCCTCAAGTATCATCCAGTTCTTGGCTGCTTTGCTGTAACCACACTGCAGCATCTGTGGGACAGAACCACTTTGTGCCGTCTTTTGCACACTTCCCTCCTCCCATCCAGCACCACCCCAGTGATTCAGAGGGATCTACCCAACCTACCAAATGGGGCCACTGCAGAGGGAGCACTGCAGACCCAGCAAACGCAGGTATGACTGACCACTGAAAGTGTGCTGTGGGAGATGATATTAGTCAAACTAAGATACAGTGACAAATATAAGCATGTTGCAAACTTCAACCTCCTTGACAATGGCTACCTTCATTAGATTTCCAACTCAAAAGCAGTGAGCCAGGAGAACAGCATCACAGAGTTTTTATTCACTCCAGATTTTTCTGGCAAAAGTTTGTGTCAAATGGCAAAACCCTTGCTCACTAAAAACACAGTCTGAAAGTCTCAGTCAGAAGTCTACTGTGCTCCCTCCAAGCAGGGCATAAATTTAATTATTTCTACTTAGGAGGTGTGCGCAGAGAGTTGGGGGGCACTAAAATATCAATTTAAAGGAGAGAAGAGGTGAGAATTTCAAATAATGAAAAGCTTGTTGGTCTCTGATGGCCAATCCTGAAACAGAAACATACCTGTGAGATTTTACTAGCTAGGACCTTGAGGCCTCTTGAAAAGTTTTACTGGCTGCTAAGAAAAATATGTCAAAGTCCTGACTTTCATTTCCACCACTGTGAGAGTGGAATAATTCATTTAAACAGAAGAAAAAAGGCTCCTGAAGATAAAGTGAGGAATCTGGTGAGTGATGCTATATCACACTTCAGTAGTGATGTCAGGAACGGAGTATTGACTCATCAACTCTCAGCATTTCTTTGGGCATACTACTCATCTCACTTCTGAAATGCTTGATTTCTCAGGGTAGTCCAAGAGCATCCTTTCAACAACAGAAAGCTGTTGCACTATATTCCTGTTCTTTACCTGTATGTGGTTCTTGTACAACGAGGCATACAGTTCCTGCCCAATTCGTCGGTACCGTTCCATACATGACACAAATCCCTAGAAGAAACATTAGAAAACATTACACCAAGGTGCTGCAGGTGTAAACTCCGAGGGTCAGAAGCAGGCATTAGTTGCTCTGTCTTTTACAAGAATTAGGGAGTATGGCCTGTGTCTGCAAGTCTGATGACTCTCCAGACATTATAGAGACAAAGCAATCATCTGAGAGCAAGTTGCACACTTAGACCAGGAGGATAAACACATTCATGATCTTAACAAGGACCATTAGTGGAACTACTCAGAAGGAGAAAGAAAACAGCAAATAAAATTTAGGGCTCCTCCTTTTGGACCTAAATTAGTTAGTAGTGCAAGTAGCATAAAAGACAATTATCTGTTGTAGAGATCCTGACTGAGGTAATGATCTGTAACGATATACCTGCTCCTTGCTGCATAAACAGAAAGCGCAAACAAAGGAACGGTCCACGTCCCGTTTTTGCAGACAGGAAACCAACTGTTTGCAAAAACATTTTTGAGATTTTAGATTTTAGAAGCCTAAGTCTTCTGGCAACAAGCGACTTAGAGTACAAATGCACTATTTAATGAGATTGTAAAGCAGAGATGTCTGAGCTAGCTCGAGAACTAGAAACTTGTAGAGCTGTACTAGTGCAAGACGACACCCATAATAACTGCCTCTGCTCCGTTACACAGCACAGACATGCCCTAAACACCAGGTGTTTCTGGAAATCCATGTTTTCCAAAGCAGTCTGACAGAACTTCCTGGCCACCTTTCCTTTCCTTCCAGAATGCACTAAACTCACAGTAGAGTGAACTCACACTAACAGTCGTACATTTCATCTGCTGTTTCATTGGAACAAACTTCTCAAGCTAAGGGTCTCTGTGCAAGTACAAGACTGATGAACTGCTGTCAAGAGATTACGAGTTACATTCCCCACTCTGCAAACAGACTGTTATGTGATCTTCAGCAAGACATGTAATTGCCCAAATCACTGCATCTCCAACCACAAAACAGAGACTATAATACTAACATCAGAGTTACACAGGCTAAGATCATGAGTGATGGTCCAGTGTGGTGGGATCCTTAAACTCGGGGAGCAAAGAAATGAAATGGCTTTCATTCTCTTCTTACCTACTCCACCAAAACCCACAGGTTTTGAGGTCACAAGATTCACATAGTCAAGACCTATACAGAACACAAACCAGAGAATTTCAAACAGTGCTTCCTATCTGACCTTCCCTTTTGAGAAGATCAGCAGAAACATTATTAAACTCAATGGAATCCCTCAGGTACCAAGCTAGCATCATGCAAATAAAAACAAAATACAATCTAGGATACTCACTATCATACTAATTCCTCAAATTCACCTGTCAAACTTTAATCAAAGACAAGCTTCCTGCTTTGAAAATGCTAGGTTTGTTCCCCACTTTCTCCTTGCCATCTATGAAATTCTGGGTCCCAAAGAGGCTTGAAGTAAAATATTTGTTTTCATGACATTTTTTTGCCTGATCAGAGAGGCAAAGCATACGGAAAGGCTGTGTGTATAGCTGAAGCACTGAACAACTGCTGACTAAGCTACTGGCTTGTTTTATCTTGTTGCGTGAAGGCAACTGAAGAACTAGCACAGGACTCTGCTTTAACAGGCTATCCAACACTCATGGGACTGTTCTACAGCCCTGTAACTCAGACTTCTCTATGCAAACAGAAAGATAGCTGCTCCATCTATTTCTTTCCTTGCTCAGTGTCTCTTTGTGTGACTGCTGACAAGAAGCTACTGGGAGGAGTTCAGTATCACAGCCTTCTCAGTAATAGCCACAGGTGAAATTTCTCCTATTTGACAGTGTATTTCCTGGAAAAAGTTTCTAGCTATCCTATTACAACTACAAGATGCCATGTTCGATCTTCTAGGCATACTTGCTTTAAATTTTTCCAAACCAAAACCTCTCTGGAAAGGCAACTTTTTTTTCCTGAAGTCAGTGGTACAGCACATTGGGACTTGACTCAGGACGATGCTTCTAATCACTACTGAAAGAAACAGAATCCCAAAAGTCACAGGATCCAAATAAACCATAAATATCTATTCCTTGTGCCAGCCACATGTGTAGGAAGGATGCAGGCTTACTTGAACATGATTCTGAAGTCAAAATAAGATTGCTTGCCCTTCCCAGGAACTTAGAAAATGTACATCAAAGCCATGAAATGGAAAATGGCTGACCATTAACTGCATTACAGAGAGTAGCAGAAGTATCTGTTCCTTGGATAAATTCCTGAGGATTAGAGGTGGCAGAGAAGGCAGAAGCTGTTTGGATATTATACAGCAGAGGTTAGTCTGCCCCCAGTGCTATTCAAAGGCTCTCATGACCACCTGAGCTTCCCTGACAAAGGTGAGATTGCTGTGAGTCACAACACCAGGCTAAACTGGCTATGAAAGTCTCAGCCTCTCACTACCTAAAGCCATGGATCAGATGGCTAACTTTTAAATGCATGGACTCTGTGCCACGCTGGCAGCAATTCCTCACAGCAAACTGTCTAGCTGCTGCTTGCACTGTGCTATAATTAAGTTAACACACAAGGTCTATGTGGTGTGCCGATTACTGCTGGCTGCCAGCCAGGTCTGTACCCCTGCCGCGAAGCCACATTTATTGGTGTTTCCCTGCAGGAAGCTCCTGTTTTACACTGATGAAAGTCATTACATTTTTGTTTGTTTAAAGCATCATTAAACCTGTAATCACAGTTGCGGCCTCACAAAACTATTCCATAATTCATATAAAACTCCCATAAAGGCTGACCTAGAAAGCAACAGCATCTCTGTGCTGTTGAGCTGGGCTCAGTACAGGAGAAGAGCTGAGATCTCTGCTCTGCGTGGACATAGGGTAAAAGCCATTCAGAATAGACAATCAATTCTTCCAAGTGTTAACAACTATTTCAGATACCCACAGGCTATTCAAGCTGAGTCAGTGCTCTACTGGCAGCTGTTTCATAGTTGCTCATAGTCTCTATTTCACTCATGGTCACTGATTAGACCCCTAAGGTCAAAGTCCACACGGCAAAGATTCTCACTGACTTCACTGACCCAGCTCCTAGCCTTTGAAACATATGAAGAGTTCTAAGAAGGAAAAATTCTGCTAGCCACGTCTGGTAAACTGAAGACTAACCACTTTGGCTTCCAAATAAGCTTCAGCTAGCCATCTTCAACCAGATGAACATGTCCTTCATGATCATCCCCACAGGAAAACCATCTGGTTGTAAAATGAAATGAACAGTTAACAAAATTGGAGATCACTGTGACTGGGAAAAAAAAAAAAACAACCACCGAAACAAATCAACAAACAAAAACGAAACCTGAAAAGATATTTTCCATAAACATGGACAATATAGACTAGGCTATTATTTATTAAAGTGTTCAGTCAGAACAATTACACTGTAATGCTTAAAGAACAACTAGTGCAAACAAGTTTCTAACAAATAAACAGTTTCCATTAAAAACTGTAGGTGGTTATCCTTTAAAATGGCAACTCTTTATGCAGTAGATTAAATACAACAGTGCCACAGTGTAATATCTATCTTGAACAACAATATGCCAGCTTTGACAATTGTTAATATTGTGTAACATAATGTAAGGTTTGAGTTTCATATGCAGAAAAGCAGGTGTAAATGCAAGAAATATGACCTGCATTCTAGGGAAGAACATACTAAAAGGCCATACTGATCCATCCTTGCCTAAAATCTAAGTATGATACCATGCTTTAAGTCTTTTTTAAACAGACTTCTCTAATTTGCAGCCTTAGACAACCACATTCTAAGTAGAATCAGGTTGTTTTGCTGCCTTAGATTCCCCAACCAATATTTAGAGCTTGAAAAGGTGATGGAATTTACAAGCTATTTCCCTATTAAAAAACCAAACTACAGAATCAAAAATCATTTCTCCTTTTACTGCATGGAGACCTGATGCAAATAGGAGAGAAAATGATTAGCACTGGGGAAAGGTAAAACCAGCAAGGAGAAAAATGCTGGCAAACAGAGAAATTAGTATGCCAAAAAATCCCAAAGAGTGGATTTTCTATAATTTCTTTCAACTAAAGGAATTGAAAGGCTGCTTGTAATAAGAAACAGTTGAAAAGAAACAAACAAACAAAAAAAAGAGTTGAGGTGTGACTTCTAAGTTAACAATTCTCTACTGAGCTGTGGAATATTTTATGTCTGACTTTTTTATTATTTTTTTTTTATATATATATATATCACTTAACACTCCTGCACTCAATAAATATTCAGGCTTGCCATAATAAAGTCGTATTGCATGATACAGACGCCACATCTGCCACAGTTCTTTCCTAAAGAAACATTATGTCATTGGAGCTCTGCACTTTGAGGCTTTCTTTGGGGAATTAAAGGCTATGTGTTGTATTACAGAACACACATGCACACAAAAGTATGTGCCAAAACTCTCAATAAATAAAAATAAGACAAAATAATTTTGGACTTGGAAAAGCCAAAAGGAAAGCCCAAATGTCCAGATCCCTCACTGTGCCAAGGCACTAATCCCATGGATGATAGTGAGAATACCCACATACTTGTTTCAAAGCATATGTTTTAATCATCTGTTGGTGAGGACTAGAACTAGTGATATTAGTCTACTACTTTAGCTCTTCTGAGCAAAATAAATATTATAAATATCTAAACACACACAGTAAGAGCATTCATATAGCATCCCAGCTATAACAAAAATATCTACTATCGTACAGTATTTTTCACCAGTACATCTCAGACGTCTTTATGAAAGAGGTCAAAGTCTTTAGCTTACAGATGGGGAAACTAAGACAAGTGAGCTTCTGGAACATCCTGCCACTATGACTTGGGTTGTGGGGGAAGCGGGCTTGATGATGGGGTAAACCCAACCTGAATTAATTTGAAACAGCCTGATAAGCCCACAAAGAGGATGTATATGGTGACAGCATGCAGTAGTGGGAGGGGGAAAAATTTGACAAATCAATTCGGAAATCCCTTCTACTCTTATGTTCTCAGTGCCAGATCGTATTCTAATATA